TCGCCCCTAGTAGAGTGAGAAGCAGCTCTGGATGGCTCGTACCGCCTAAGACAAGAAAAGGGTCTGCCTGCGGCCCATGCGGCTTGAAATCTTTCTCCCAAGCATTTTTAATTCAAGGTTGGTTGAATCTACAGATGAAGGAGCAGCAGATACCGAGCACTGAGCTTGTACTCAATAAATAGCCTTTCCTGAAAATGCACGTACAACAAAGTGACATGTCGGTTGAGAAAAATTTCACAGCCAGTCACTCAAAAGAAGCTGACCCTGGCTGGGCACGGTGGGGCACACCTGCCACCCGAGGAGGCTGTCACATTTGGGGGCCTTCGGAAGGTGAACAATACAGTACAGGATGCATTTTATAATATTATTTTATAATGAATCACCCACGAATCACGTATGAGGAGTGCAGGAAATCTGTCCACACACTAAACACTAAAGAACCAGCTGAGGGCCTGGATCCTAACACCCTTCGTGAGTCCAGCTGAAATCCTAGCATTCATAAGCGATGCCTCCCACAAGTCCAGCTGGAGGCCCAGAGCCCACAGCAAAGTCTCACGCAGGTCCACTTCACAGATCTGTGCTCAAAGGGCCCCAAGGTCAGGGGTGGAGGCTAGAAAGTCTGTGCCAGTGGGATGAAGGATCTGTGCTAGCAGGCTGGGGGATCTGCCTGCTGGAGCCAGGAAGCGACGCCCAAGGAAAGCACCAGAGCTCCCCCAAAAGTACCACAGCCGTCCTCAGCAGCAGTAAGGCCCTGAGCTCCTGCAGAGATGAGGGAAGCCGAGTTCCCATCAGGAAGGCTTCTCCATGAGCTGAACAGTGCACCTACCGTCTTCCCCTCTGGAGCCAGGAAGCGATGCTCAAGATGAGGACCAGAGCTGCTCCAATGAGGTCCTGAGCTCCTCCTCCGACAAGAACAGCCAAGTGCATCAGGAAAGCCAGCAGGACAGGGTCGGCCTGCGCAACAGCCCAGGAGAACCAACGGCTTCCCATAGCTTCTCCACACAGCATCCCTGACAGTATACCAACAGCTTCTCAGCTCTGCCTCTTCTGCTGCTGGCAACCCTCCTCTGCTGGGCCTCCCACACCCAGCAGCACCAGTTAGTTAGAAGTCCTACAGAGGCTGAGGCAGGAAGATCAAAAGTCAGAGCTGAGGGCCGGCTAGATAGCTCAGCCAACTAAAGTGCCTGCTTAGGCAGAGAGCAGGGCATGGGGGGTCCCCAGCAGGCCACGCCAGCCTGGCCCTGGGGGTACGCTGAGACAGCAACTGAGACTGGGCATGCCAGTGCACACCTGTAATCCCAGTGCTTGGGAGGCTGAAAACAGGAGGATCACTATGAGTCCAATCTGTGTAGTGAGACCTTGTAGATCCTGTACTAAACACATTAA